CCTATTAACTATTCACTATTTGACTATTCAGTTATCACTATTCACTATTAATTATTAACTATTCACTATTTACAATTCATCTATTTAACTATAAACTGTTAAACTATTTAGTTATCACTATTCACTATTCAATAATAACTATTTACTATTTACTATTCACCATTAACTATTTAACTATTTACTATTTAACTATTTACTTTTTAACTATTAACTAGTTACTTGAACTATTAACTATTTACCTAAAACTATTAACTATTTACCTATAACTATTGAACTATTAACTATTCACTATTTAACTATTCTAAATTCACTATTTACTATTTTACTAACAATTAACTATTAACTATTTACTATTTAATATTAATTATTCACTATACACTATATTAAAACTTTACTATTCAATTATTTACTATTAACTATTTAGTGCGCATGCGCCAAATACGCAAGATGTTCATGAGACCGATCCAAGTACGCACGTACACCATTATTTTAAATTGATTGTTTGAGAACTCCACATTCACCCAGCGTTTTGGGGAATGTGCACATTCACCAAGAGTGCACATTTACCGTAACATATATATATATATATATATATATATATATATATATATATAGGATGGTCCTTAAAATGGTCATTTTCTAATATCCTTGCTCCCAGGGGCGTAAATGGTTCCAAATTGATAAAAAACAATTCTCTGAAAGTTTTAGCTCTTAATATTAACGTTTAGATAGAGCGCAATTCAATCAAACTTCGTATGGAAAGAGCAAGGAAATTTTTTTGAAAATTTAAAAAAAATGTTTTAGGTAAAACTTAGCGACAAATGAATGTGTTTTATTCATTCATTTGTTTGCTAAATTACATCTAAAAAACATTTTTAAAATTTTTGAAAATTTTTCTATGCTATTTCTATACAAAACTTTGAATTGCGTTCTATCTAAACGTTAATATTAAGAGCTAAAACTTTCAGAGAATTGTTTTTCACCTATTTGGAACCATTTGAGTCCCTGGTAGCAAAGAAAATGACTATTTTAAGGACCACCCTAATATATATATATGTATATATATATATACATATATATATATATATATATATATATATATATATATATATATATATATATATATATATATATATATATATATTATTGTGTAATAGCAATCGATAATGCTGTAATGGCAATGCTGATATGCCAATTGAATTAAATTCGATATCGATTGCAGCCATTATCACCATCAGCAAATATTTTAAATACGCCATCGTAAGGTGTTTGCAGTCCTACTTTTTGAGTATATAAACTATGGAACTGTGCGATTAGCCAGAGTCGCAGTATTATTCGTTATAAAGATAGTTGTTAATCATTGTAAGTGGGTGCTAATAAAGTATTGTTAAAAATAGTCAATCAGTGTTGTTCTTTAGAAGTGACAAGATACTTCAGCCAATATCTTAATAAGAACTCAAGGCAATCCGAAGCCTATTATTACTATAACCACCGCTCGGCAAGGCTGTATTGACTAGGAGGTCAATACGAACCACGTTACCAACAACCCCATTACATTTCAATATATATATATATATATATATATATATATATATATATATATATATATTTGCACACAGTTTTACCATAATTATTAACATACGGAGATTTGGATTTTAAAGTAGAAGAAAGAAATCTTAAAGTATTATATTTAAAAAGTAAGAAAAAGATGTGATAAATTGTTTATGTTTTAATTTATTTTTATATATTTTTACAGACATTTTTTAAAAAAGCTATTGTTGAACAAGATGCGAATTTAAGAGTTTTGCGGGTATATTGTCAGAGAGTCTTCAATTTTCCAATATCTGCTCGAGGTATTATTTACAATGGCAGATTAATCGGACCATTAAATGATAATGAGCAATTTTACATAGAAGACCTAGCTTTGTTAGAAAGATTTAGTAATATGATGTATGGAGATAAATTAAAAGCAATTTTGAAGAATGGAAAGGAATTTCAAGGTAATGATGGATATTGCATTTTTTGTTTTCAGGTATTGGTACTTTTGTATTTATGTGATTTGAATGAGAATTACCACAAGTTCAACAAGAGTTGATAGTTACTACATTTTTTTAACATGCACTATTTTAGCTATGAAGCTAATGAAAGCTTTTTTAATTTTGAACTTTAGAATGCAATTGCTGTATAATTACAAGTTCCATGTTTATACAAGCCAAGTAAAAATTTTGCGCTTTATAATCTATGCTATCAAATTAATAACCCCGATTGCAATAACACATACTTTCCAAAAATGCATAAAATTTTCAACATAATTTGAAATCATTTAACAATTATTTAGCACTTCGCTTTCACTATCATTTTCTTTTTATTTATTTTTTACATAAATCTTTATTTATTTATGTTTGACGCTTTGGATACTTGTTTTCAATTTTAATAAGTCATTTGATTTGTCTAGATATGACATACGTGTTTTTTTTAAAACAAAAAAGCGTATTTTTTACATTGTAGTAATTTTTATATTATGATGACGAGGATTCTCTCTTTCATTGCAGTATTACAGTGTTTACACTATTTTATTTATTGTGTGTATTATTTTGTTGTTAATGTATTTATTCAATATTTTATATTATTATATCTTAGTATGATACATATAGGTTCAAAGCTAGTTCAAATAATAATATTGTTTATTTGTTATTTTCATTTGACGCGTTAGCTGTATAAATATAAACTAGTTGGTATTGGTATTTTTCCTTGAAGCAAGTTACTTGAGCTTCCCGATATATGTAAATAATCCACTTAATCAATAAAAATAAGTTAATTTATGAGTGTTAAAAAGTATTCCGATTGAATTTATTACACATAATTGAAAACGAACGAACTCGTTAACTCGGAGTATTTTCTAAAAGCAAATTTTCAAAAATCAACAATTACGGCCCGCATGCGGGCTGCCGGATGTTTTTCTACGGCCCGCCAAGCATTTCTCAACTACAGATTATTTTTCTAGCTATTTTATCAGATACGGCTATAAAGGCTAATTTTGTTGTCAAATACTGGCAAAAACTTTTGTTCGCAGAAATAGCATTTCCTGATAAAATGAATATTAATGTAAATATCATTTTAACAAGCTTCAATATTGCAAGAAAAGTTGAGAACTTTTTGTAAAACATAGCAACAACGCATTTCTAAATTTAAAATAATTAAATAGGTAAATCTTATAAAGTCGCGAGGATTTAAAGACTTCCTGGCATTTTAGAGACTTCCTGGCAAATTTAAAAAAAATAAATAAGTAAATCTTATAAAGTCGCGAGAATTTAAAGAATTTAAAGGCTTCCTGGCAATTTAGAGCGTGAATATGGTGATGTGCTTTTCAATACCAAAGTACTTTAGCTCAATAGTGATTCAATGTTAGGAGTATACAATCCAAATGGCGAACTACAATTGTTTTTGGATATGAAAGAACAATTGCAGTACTTTCATCATTTTGGCAATAAAGAATAATATCATTTGCAGAATCTCGTGTTTCACATTTCATATTCAGAAAAAGGAAATGTGAACAAATTTTAATTGTGATTCCAAATGTTCAAAGCTAACAAGACAGCTATTTTCATGTAAAATAATACAGATTTAAAAATGTATTTTTTCAGTAAACATCGAAATTTTCCATAAATCTCATGTCAGCCCTGAAAAATTTTTGCTTTTGAAAAAAAAAACGCAAATCAAACTATGATAAATTCTTTTTTTTGGAGTGCCAGTTATTAAATGTTGTTTCATATTCTGTGTTCAAATTATGACTAAAGATTTATCTGCAGCGATAAAAGGTACATTGGAAAACATATGTCACGCACGCAATCCACGCAACATTGGAAAACATATGCCACGCACGCAATCCACGCAACATTTATTGTTGACCTTTGTTAATTGACCTATCAAAAGTGAGTAAAACATATAGAAGCTGCATACGCGTTGCTACTTTCCGTATTAAAAAAATTAAAATAAAGAACCAAATTTAAAAAAACGGCTGATATTGATCAGCTTATATAAAAAAGCTGTGCCAAATTTCTTATTTTAAGTTTTCAAGTAAATTAGTTTTTCTGTTTAACTATTATTTGTTTTTATTTTGTATTTATATTTATAAACACTTATAGTATACATTCGTGATTATATAAAATATATACTTTTTTCAATTTTGTATTTTTGTTCTTATCTTGTGGCAATTTTGTAATTTTGTTGCAGTTACATTATTCCCGCACTCAGTCAATAAATCTTTTGACTTAATTTTAGTTCAGACTTTTGAGTTTATGAAAAAGCTTCTATTTTATTCAAAAAGAAAAATCAATTTATATTTATTATGGGTTGTACGACCATAACAATTTTTTAAAATTTTGTTCTACTTTTTTTAATGCGAAATGGAAAACTACATAAAACTCCAAATCTTCACTCTCTTATTTCATAGTAGTCATGAAGTAGAAAATATTTTCTGTGGCTAAACGTTCGCCGGGTCAGCTATTATATATATAAATATATATATATATATATATATATATATATATATATATTATATATATATATATATATATATATAAATACAGTAGAACTCCAATTATCCGAATTAATGGGGACCGGGACCGATTCGGATAATCAAATATTCGGAGTTTTTTTTTAAATTGTCATTGGAGAGAAAAAAAGTTACGTTTTGATATTGCACTATTTTTTTATTGAATTAAATGAAAGAAACATGATATTTTCACATGTTTTAAATATAAATAAAATGTACTTACGTACAAGTTTGAAATAAAAATCATTGTTTTTTAAACATCTCCGTCAAATCAAAACAAACTATGTGCCTACACTGGCTTCGCTGGTGGAAGAATAATAGAGCACTTAGACTTTTTTTGGACAATTTTTTTTCTGAAAGTGATTCGGATAATCGGCGATTCGGATAGTTGGAGTTCGGATAATTGGAGTTCGGATGATTGGAGTTCGGATAATTGGAGTTCTACTGTATATATATATATATATTTTTTTTGATGAGTTATTTAAAATCGGGCAGTAACACCAAGTAAAGAAAAAAAAAACTAAAGTAGTTCTTAAATACTTTATTTATCCATACGTTTCGGTCTTCATCGAGACCGTCATTCAGTGGAAAACTAAAAGATTTTATATGATGTAGGAGGCAATAATATAAAGTTATAACTTATATATAAATACTTACAGAATTAATTATACAAAAATACACTACACTATTACACTGTGATAACCAGGCTATTAATAATTGGAACATTTAAACTAATTAATTTTTTAGACAATTTTTGCTTACATTCTAGTGTGTACAAATTGACTAACGTCTAAAAACTGAATGAATTGTGTTTACAATTTTTTTGAGAAAGTGTAAAAAAGACCGGCAGACATATGTTTTTTGTAAAATAATAAAATAATAAAAATACACGCTTCATTCAGATATGGTGGTGTTTTTGAAAATAGTCGAGAGTTATTTTATAGTCATTGCAAAGCGAATTGTTGTCAGTTCTTAAATTTATGGCTGTATCCTTGTGTAAAGATATTAAGCAACCTTCGCTAAATCGTCTTTTAAATAAATTATTTTCGAAATGTAGAATCGTGGGATTGGAAAAATCAATGCTATGTTTGAGTTCATTGATATGATCTGTTAATTGTGTTTTATACTGATTTTTATTTTTTGAATTGTTTTTGTGTTGAGATGTTCTTTTGTGCAGATTCTGACTAGTTTCATCTATGTAAACGCAATTACAATCTAGACAATTAAGCTTATAAACTAGTTTACTTAAGATTCTTGGGTTAAATTTTGATTTTAATTTTGTAAAAAGAGTAGAAAAAGTATTTTCGGAAGTACAAACTACTCTAATATTATTTTTATTGAAAAGTTTTCTCCACGGGTAATATAATTCTTTGATGAAAGGTAAACTTATAGTTCCGACGTAGTTTTCAAGGTTTGGGTTATTAATTAAATTATTGTGACGGTTTTGGAGATATAAGATTCTATTTTTTGTTATGGATTGGATGAGGTGTTGTGGGTAGGAGTTTTTGGTTAGGATTTGTGAAATGAGAGAGATATTCTTTCTTAAAAATTTACTGTGTGATAATAATAATGCGTGGTCAATTAAGTTTATGATTGTGCCTATTTTGATAGAGAGGGGGTGGTAAGAGTGGTAATTAAGATAACGGCCTGAGTATGTTGGTTTGTGATACCAATCAGTTATTATATTATTATTTTCGCGAAAGAGTTGTACATCTAAGAAACTGATAGATTTATTATTTTCTAATTCATAAGTGAATTGTAGATGTTGGTTGTGGGCATTAAAAGAATTTACCAGAGTTGTTGTGTCACTGTTTGGGATGCATGTTATGATGTCATCAACATATCGATAGTAAAAAATTTGTTTATTGTAGGAATTTAACATAAGAAACATAAGAAATTTCAAGATAAACAAGATAACAACACCACCGATAATTTATTTTATAAAATCATACAAAAACACTACGATTTTTATACTATGTCACAATTCAAAACTATCTCCAAACTTAATTCCAAATTAACTATTAATAACAATAAACATATTTTCCTACTAAAATGTCGTAAAGAGAAAATTATTCCAACTTTTTATCAAATTAAACTTAATAAATTTGAACACCTTAATTATTCATCACAAGATCATAAGTTAACTAGTTTTAGTTTAAGACTCATGTCTCTCTCAATAGAAAATTGTATTAAAGTTAATCTTAATTTGAAAACAATAGTCGAGCGAATAACGAATTGGTTGTCAAAAGTAGTTGAAATCGAAATTTTAAATAACTTCTTTTATTTTGAAAAACTCAGAAATAATTAACTTTCATCAAAACTTAAAAATTCTTATAAAAACAAATATGAAAAATTATATCAACAAAAATTAGAAACAACACAAATCACATTAGACGATAGCACCATAAATAAATGGTTAAAGAATTTTTCAAACGTTGACATCCC